TACATATATATATATATATATATATATATATATATATAACAATTAAGAAATTCTGCAATACATGAGGGACATAATAAAATTTATAAAATCAGTCTTCGTAGGATACGAGAATCAGATAATACATAATAGCCGAAAACAAAGTTTCTACAAAATTAGAATACTCAAATTAATATTATATTTAAGTTAACAACTTGCAATGTACTCAGAGCTTTTTCATTCAATCTTTAGAAATCCCTTGTATTATTCGACGAGCATTTCTGATTTAATAGGATTTTTGAGTACTTTTTCTTTTTTAATAATCAGAGTGTCATCCATTCAAAATCTAAATGGATTGAGTAGAATTTCGTAAACAATCATGACTAATCCGGCCATAACTATATATAAAAACACAAACTTCTTCAAAACTTTTGATAAAAATAGTTAATCATTTTTCTTAATTACATGCCTTTTCAATTACCATATGTTTGAAATCCTAAATAATATAAAATAAAATTCTCAAATCATTAGGGGCACTTTATTCTTAATATCAAAACTGTATGAGTGTTTCAAAAAAAAAATATTAAAACCCAAAAATTATTCATCTACGTTAAAATCATTAAATCAGTCCAGAAAATTATAAAGTTATAAAAGTTCATTAAAAAAATATTAAATCATTTTAACTATTTATATGTGTGTGGTTAATTATTTTATATAGTTTGAAAATAGGAAAAACAGCTATTTTATTTTAATTATTTAACTATAAAAAATCACATGATTAATCTCGAATATATCAAACATTTAAATCTGTTCTTTCCATCAAGTATCAGTGAAGAATATTTAACATATAATTGAATAACATAGATGCAATAATAAAAGAAATAGCAATGAAAAAAATATAAGCATCTCAAAAGCTATACCAAGATATCGGAGTGTTCTTGCACGCCTTTTCAAAGAGAGGTGGGCAGCAGGCTAGACTAGGCGGGTTTACAAAGCATAAAAAAACTAGAAAAAATAAAAAATAAATAAAAAAATGGGGTCCTCCTCCAACAAATGGGCGGCCGCTGATAATTTGGAGTCGGACCAATGACTCCTCCCTCCACCTTTAATAATGGGTAGATTTCCAGGTCTTCACAGGCACAAAGTTTTAGTAGTACTGTAGATTATTTTAACTTTGACTTTGGTAATAGTTTCTGCTTTGACCACCTAACTTCTCCATGGCTAGCCAACCATCTTTAAATTTTGCCTTTCATTCAACGCATGCTGCCCAGAAATCTAAAAATGTTCCTTGTTTGACCCTTTTCTGCATTACTCATGTTATTTAATAATTGTATTGTGTTTGTTATGTTATGCTATGATGAGTTGAAAAATTAAACATAATTAGTTGTTTGATGATGAAATTCTAAGTTATATTGCTAATAAAATTATTTAAATTAAAGAGTTTATTTAATAAATTAAATATTTTACTAAAAAACTAAATGAATTATTTATTTGAAAAAATACATAAATGCCATGGAGAGACATAAGTGAGAAAAATAACAAAAACATTGCATGTTGTTTTTGGCAGGTAGAACGTCTGACTAAATACTTTAATTAACATCCACACACAATTGAGATCTAAAAAATAAAATAATTCATATTGGTTGATTGTAAAATCTTAATTATTGTTAGAAATATGATTGCAACTAAATTAATCATTATGTATAAAACAAATGGGATTGTTGTTAATTTATTTAATTTTAACATATTTAATGTTATTTTTGTCTTTTAAATAAAATGAAAAATGTAGTTTTCCATTAAAAAAATCATTTCCCATATATTTTGAAGTGGAAATTAATATATATTTTATTTTATTTTTTAAAAAATCATATTTCAACTTTAAACGTTAAGAAGTGAATTTTTTAAAATTCTAATAAAAAAATTTTTCGATAATGTTTTCTAAAAAATAACAAATAAAAGGCCAATCAAGCAATTAAAAACTTTTTAAGCCTGCAATATTTTTAAATGAAACAAATAGAAAAAAAATGCAGATTTAACCAAGAATTGTTATGTACTTTATACCCCATAAAAATGAAAAGACATTAAAAAAAAACCAAGAATGGTCGAGTGTGTCAACACACAAGTTTAATATATTATATACAATGGTGCATCAAGAATACAAATAAAAAAGATCGAAAATGCATTCTAATGCTTAGCCTAGCGGTGGAAGGGACTTGTCTTCTTCCACTGCACCTGAATTCGAGTCCTAACGTGTACGCCTGTCATCCCCGTGGTGCCTGTTATTCCCGCGATGCCTTACATGGTTACTGGGTTTGCAGGGTATTCAATGAGTCGTGGGAATTAGTCGTGGTGCGCGCAAGTTGGCCTGAACACCCCATATAAATAAAAAAAAATAATCCAAAATAGCCTAACCAAGGATACATGTAGCCCAGCCAAGGCTATTTGTTAATGCCTGAACCGAGGCTGCTTGTGGATGGCCTAACCGAGGCTAGTGGCCTAATCGAAAGAGAGAAGGTGAGGGAAAAAATTGATGCAGTCTAGCATATCCAATCGAACTCATGAGTCCAGCCGAGACCGAGAGGAGAAGGAAAAGGGCTGACCCAATCCACCCTCTATAGCCTTGGTCAAGCCCAACTGAACCCTCTTTAGCCTAAAACAAACAGACGGTGGAGAAAAGAAGGAGAATGGTAGTCCAACCTTGGCTTAATAAGTGGCCTTTAATGGCTACTTTCTCTCGCCAATAAATTGTCTCAAATCAATTTTTTCACGGATGATTATTCTTCATCCTAACTCCCTAGCTAATACACCTAACATGTAACAATTCTTGTAAATCTAATATTGAATTATAAAATTTTAAAAAATTAAATTATAAAAAATGAAAAAATGAATAAATTCAATATTTCAATATTTTATGAGGATATGAACAGTGAACACACACACATGTTAAATCAAACATGTACAAATTCATAAAACAAAGGACATGATCAATAAGAGCCAGCAGGGAAGAAACGGTGAGGAGTTGTGGTGGTAGCACTGAATGAGAAAAAAAAAATGGTCTGAGCCCACATGCTCTTTACAGATGGCCTTGAGAAGCTTCTATAGGCCAATTGAAACATCTAGACCGTTTCCTTTGTTTTCCCCGGAATATGTAGCATTGGGTTTCATAAATACACCGGACCCGACCATCAAAACTTTGTCTGGTGGACTAAATTTAGACATTTAAAGGGCCCGATGCATAGTTTTGACTTTTGACTGTGAGACCTAACAGGCCTACACGGTCCAAACTTGAGGGACCTGAACATCAATGGGGCTTTCAGCAAGTTTAGGTTTTCATTCTCGATAATGGAAGCTCCATCCCTTTTCTAATACTTCAAGTTTAAAGTCTTCCTCCTAAAAGCTCCATTGTGCAATTCAAGGTTGAGTGTAAAAGAGGCTCGGAATTCATTTTCGATAACATTGACATACAGTTATATTTTTTTATTAACATGATTGTTCAATTGTATCTTCACTAATCTTATAACCTCTAAAAGTTAACAATTATATAAATTTTTAATAATCCTAAAAGATTCGAACCCTTAATAATTAAGGAATAAACTTAAAATCTCATCATTTGATACTAATTAAAAATGTTCGTCTTCCAAGCAGTAGTGACCATGTCAAAGAAATCAACCCATGCATGCAATCTGTATCAAGTTCTTAGAAGAGATTGATTTTGAAAAAAAAGTTTACAATTAAGGGCATCGTTAACTTTCATTCTTTAATCCACTTGATGATGTATTTTCCAGCTAATAAAATTTTAAAAAACAATCATTATCTTATTTTCCGGCACCGTCCAAGCCCTCGACACTCCATCCAAATGTGATGTGAACTTAAATGAGTAGAGCCCATGTGTACGAGCGTCACTAAGATCCTCTGGTCGATTGCCGAGAACCACAAGGGTGGTCATATGCATCTTAAAGGGGCTTGAAGCAGAGAGTAGAAGCCAAAGCTCGACTCGGTGATGACCTAAAATGAACCAGTATCACACATCCATGTCCTCCCGAGGATGAGATAAGGTCCTGGAGCTTCTTCCACGTGGCAAATCTATTGTGGTGCCTAACGATAAGGCTAGCATTCCAAGAATTTCCACCCTCATGTGGATAGAATGGTGTCATGTCATCACATATCGTATCCAACGGTCACATTTTGTTCAGTATCAACCACGATAGCTTGTGGCCATACGATATGAGATAGACAAGTTGAAGCATTATAAATACGGTGTAGCAGGAGTACTTTAATCTTGCAAAACTAGCAAAACCACATATAGAGGGTGTAATAGCTAATTAGCTTGTAAGAGATGGCTTCCTCTGTGATTTCATCGGCGGCCGTTGCCACAGTTAACCGCACCCCGGCACAGGCCAACATGGTTGCGCCATTCAACGGCCTCAAGTCTACCTCAGCTTTCCCGGTCACCAGAAAGGCTAACAATGACATTACTTCCATTGCAAGCAATGGCGGAAGAGTTCAATGCATGCAGGTAAAACCTTTTAAACAACTTTGGTACAACGTTGTTAGTTTTATTCTACTTGGAATTAATTAACTTTCTTTGCTCCCTTCTTTTTTCTTTTTTATTTCTTTTCTTTTCTTTTTTTTTTTTTAAAAAATGCGTATAGGTGTGGCCTCCAACAGGATTGAAGAAGTTCGAGACTCTTTCTTACCTCCCAGATCTCACTACCGAGCAATTGGCCAAGGAAATTGACTACCTTCTTCGCATGAAGTGGGTTCCTTGCTTGGAATTCGAGTTGGAGGTGATAAGTCCAATCTCATAATCATACAATTTTCACTAATAATAATTATTATTATTACAAGGTGATGATTAACCATATAGAGCATGTTTGGTGTTTTCTGTATTTTGATGTGCGGAAATTAAAAAAATTAAAAAAAATTAAAAAAATTCAACATATTTCTGATCGAAAAACAACTATTACAATTTTATATGACCAGCATACTAAATTAATTGTGCCTGTACTTTTACATTGAACACATTATAATTACAGGTAACTTAATTAAGCATTTAAGCGGATTCTTAGTTCCTCAATATAGTCACATATAAGGTTTGTGATTAATTGTTTATAGACACCAACTTGTAAATGTTTGATTATGCAGAAAGGTTGGGTCTACCGCGAGCACCACAGGTCCCCAGGGTACTATGATGGACGCTACTGGACTATGTGGAAGCTACCCATGTTTGGATGCACTCAGGCATCTCAGGTGCTGATTGAGCTCGAGGAGGCGAAGAAAGCTTACCCTAACTCCTTTATCCGTATCATTGGATTCGACAACGTTCGTCAAGTGCAGTGCATCAGTTTTATCGCCTCCAAGCCAAAAGGTGTCTAAGTCCCAAGATTTGACGAGTCCCTAGCTATCTGTTAGGGTTGCTTTGTTCAAAGTGTACCTCTGGCAAAAAGATCGTTGCTTTTCCTTTTTTTATTGGGTTTTTGAAGATCAATATTCTACTTTGTTTTTGCTTTCTGGATTCGGATGCTGAATCGAACGCTGAGACTAGTTGAATAAAAAGTTGTTTATTTTTAATTTCGATCCGTGCATGTGAAACCATTAATCTGGTATGCCTCTTTGCCTTCAGCATCTTTGGTTGATGTTTATACATATATATATAGTGTTGATTTTAAGGCACCATTAATGGAGGAATGGCTCTTTCCTGTGACTTTAAATTAGTCTAATTGATATTGAGCATTTAACCTTAGCTCCCAAAACATTGAGCATTTCCTTGTGGATTTTGGGAGTTCATCTCTTAATCTTCCATGGATAATTACATCAGACCTTGAGCACAAGATTGAATGGAACATGATAGCTTAATGTTCTTAAAGAAGAACGCCAATGTGGCTTATCTGCACCAGATGGGTTTCTCTGTTGTATTCAGCTGTTCCCTCCCGATCCTTGGTTTAACTACCTGCCAAATTAAGACACCACTTGTCTAAGAAAATAGCCTTTTTTTTGGCTTGCATTGACATTGATGATCGAAGCAAATGAGTAACTTCCAAATCCAATGACTGAAAATATATGGTGGCCTAACTGTAGTGAGAGTCCTGTTTAAATTTTGACTATATGCCCCTTAATGTTCATCATCAGCCTGCAACTTTCTGCTTGAAAGCCAGATGATAGCATTGGAAGATCAAATAGTACTCTATTCCCAGCTCTTTAAAGAATACGTATGGTTAAGCAAACGGAGCATTCAAATTTCTGACTCATTGTTTTTCGTCAGAACTCTAGTTTCAGTACAATGGCCTGGAATTCACAAATTTGATTGAGCTACTGTATAATCCGCTGCCTTTTCTATGAAACAGTCACATCCACCACAGAATTCAAGTGTTCTGTACATGTTTTCTATAGGCATCCCAAATTAGCAACTTGAAATTACAAAGTAGATTGACTAGTGTGCTCCCTTTTGTTTTCTTTTCTTTCGGGTCTAAATTAAGAATTATCTTCTTGTTTAGAATTGGGGAGACTATTCGAACGACAAGAGGCCAAGCTAGGCAGAGACAAGCATGGTGAACTTTTTTTAAAAAAATACCCACTTCGGCAGCCTAAGTTGAGTGGATAGTATTCTCCCAAATTAAATCTCGGGAGAGAGTATATTCATGTGGTTCGGTCTGTTGTTTTCCTTCATGAATTTGAATGGTTCAGCCATTGATAGCTACACTTGTGGACATGCCATGACTAAGATAAGATGAGGGTGGAGATAAGAAGCGTTCACTCTTTCATTTTAGCCACCTCACAGTTATTTTATATTTCTTCATTTTGTGGATGAGATGTCAGTTTCAAGGTATTTTCACCAGAAAGATGGGAGCTCCAAGACAACAACAATTTACAAAAATCTAAACCAAACACGGGTTCCCATCACTGAATTATTAGGTAGTTGTTTATCTCGAATCATTGGTCAATTCTTTCTATGTATTTTTATTTCAATGATTTTAGTACAATTACTTGTATTTTTCTGTGCTCTCTACAGGAAAAAACACACACTAAATCACTGTTTTTATTTCAATGATTTTAGTACAATTACATGTATTTTTTTGCGCTCCCTACAGGAAAAAAAAAACATTAAATCACTTTATTTATTCTTTTCTAAATTATTAACCCCCAAAATTAGAATTGAAATATATCTACAGTTTCTTTCCCATAAAACTTGAAAAGGAAATACAAGATTTCAATTTATGGTCTATGGCCGCTGTGCTGAATCATGTCATTGTCATTCCAACTTTAGTGTTCATCTTTTATAACTTTGGTTGATGCATTCTTGTAGGTAATCTAAACCATCACCACAAGATGTTTTTTGATGGGGCTCCAAACATTATTTACCACGAATCATATATGATCAAAATCGCTTTCATTTTGATGGGACTATGACGGGTATAACAATTTAAATAAAAAAAAATTAAGTTAACCCTGTTTATTGTAAAATCATATTATTTTAATTTAAATCAAAAAAATATTATTTAAAAAAATCAAAACTGTTCTAAATAAAAATTAATAAATAAATAATTGGAGCTTACTTAATTGCATTTTATCCAAGTTTACATTATTCAAAAGTAAACTCGATGAGGATTAAGTTTGGTCACCGAGTCACTCTGCCAAGCCGGATTTTATAACTGTTGCTAAGACTGTCATTGGGCTTCTACTTCTCTAATGGGCCTGGTCCATTTGACTGCACTTTCGGCTTGGGCTATGGGTAAAGAGGTGCTGAATATTTTACATAGAAGAGACCAAAAGGAAGGCTGAGGCCGCTAAAGGGCTTTCAAACTGTAGATGACAGTGATCTTCAAGTCCTGTAGAAATAAGATGCGTTAGGGTAATTTTTCAAGGCAAAGGCCCAACTTAACGTACAATATTTCAAGTCTTCAGAATTTATTTTTCAATTTTGTATTATTTTTTAGCATTGTGCTGAAAGACTAGATCCATGCAATAATTTCTTGATTTTAAATTTAATTTAAATTAAATTTCGGAAAAGGAAATAATATATGATAACATGACTACTTTGGTGCTCATAAACGCATAATATGATCCAGTAATTCTCTTCCTTTTCTTTTATACATTTGTTTCAAGCTGTTGTGTGCATGCAGTTCCTCTCTTGCAACTGTGACTGATGAACTCGTTGACATTTAAGACTGGGCTGAGTTTTTCAGGATCATCATGATCTAGGCAAGTGATTAATAACTTCCACGAGCTTTCATACCAAAAACAAGTTTTCTATCAGAATAATCCTCCGATACTTGATTTTGTCAGTGTAAGATAAAGAGTACGTGAAGTATGAAAATAACACGAGGACTAGGGGAAAAGGTGCATGGAGAGGGGAGCATAAGCAGGGAAAGAGCAATGTGTGTCGTTCATGGGTTTGTTGTTCTTGAATAATTTTTTTTTATTTGATGATCTAAAATATTTATAAATTTTATTTATATCATTTTTTTTTTTGCTAAGAGTAGTGTAATGATAAAAAATACTTGAAAATTGAGTAATTAGTTGTTATGTGTTATTAGTTTATTATTAAAAAGGTGAATACCCATTATTAGTAATGGTGCCTCACTATGATTTTGGTGGAAAGATAAGTGGTTGGGTTGTATCCTCTAAGATGACATATGAACATAAAGTAATGGTTGGTGAAAAAGTATTCCTTTTTCATTGTGAAAATTTAATTTATTTGTTTCTGTATTGTATTTTAAAAGTATTAAAAAAAAATTAATTTGATTCATTGTGAAAATTTAATTTATTTGTTTTTGTATTTTAAAAAAAGATTTAATTTGATTTATTTTTTTATTTGTTTTAAATTAATATTTTTAAATTATTTTGATATGCTGATATCAATAATATTTTTTTTAAATAAAAAAAATTTATTTTAATATATTTTTAAATAAAAAAATTTTAAAAAATAATTATAACCGTAAAAAAACATAATGGAGAAACTGTTTGGTTTTGGTGAGAGTAAGGACGAGAATAAGGCAGCATGGGTGGTTGTTTGGGATTGTCTTGACTTTATGATGCTTCATAATATCTGTAAAAACATATTTATAAATATAGGAGTGGTTTAAATAATTTTTATTTAAAAATATATTGAAATATTATACATATTTTTATTTTTAAATTAATTTTGGTAACCGATAATTCAAACTATATAAATTTTGTCTCTTGTATAAAATGTAAAGGCTTATCAATGCATTGCTATTGTCATCGATGACAGACAGAGAAGAGAGAAATTAGAAGACACGAAATATATTTTTAGAGGAATCAATTATTTGGAAGCGTGCTGGATGTACTTTAAGCAACCCAGGAAGGTGTCTGACTAATTCAACATTAACAATCATTAACTTGTCTTAAATATTTAGATAATTGAAGCAAACTTTTCTTTATCAAAGGAGCAAAGGAGGAGAGCTCGACCTGTTACAGTACCATTAACCATATATTGAAATAATTATTTAATATTGTATAAAAATATTATCAATTAAATAATTTCAAATATGATTCTCACCACCTTCATGATTACAACAGAATCATCAAAATGGAAGAGTGTAGAGTTGAACGGATCCAGCAGTTTCCTAAACAAGCTGATGAGAAGCTGTTATATTTCCTAAAAACTATAATCAATGGAAGAAGGAGATGGTAATACAATTTTCATACACAACAAATTGAGACGGAAGTCAAATTTGAGCTGTAAATGGCCTTCAATCCCACCATGATTACATCCTTAACAGACTTTGATGACTTGATTACTAATCTAAGCCACCGCTTAATTCATGTACGGCAAGAAATCGGATCTGGAGTGATAGTTAAGCCAGAATGTAAGAACTTAAAGCCAATCCAACACAAAATTCCACTTTCCTCTTATGCTTCTCGTTACTTCAATGAACACGCCTCCATCAATGATACGATATAAACACTCGATGACAAGGAGATGCGTAAGCCATTCTCACTACAATGGCTGGCCATTTTTGATAAATCGCACGAGTAAGTCAGAAACATTTCATATCTAAAAATGAAGTTCTGTTTTAAAATTCTCTGAAAGATTATCCATCATTTATCGTAAACAAATTTGAATTAGTGTGGATTTGGAGGTTTAATGAGTTCGTCTTTTGTTGGGGATAAATACCAGTCGCTGGCCAAACCAAATTTGAGGCTGCCATGCGGGTGGTTGAAATGAATGTCAATGTCATGTTCCATAGCAACTGCAATCAATCCACAGCTTGACGATGCAACTACTAACAAACTTGAATAAGATATTTGTCTCTGAAAGACCGAAACCATGGGAGTTTCGATGAGAGAAGCAACATGTCCAGTTTAGTTTTTCTCCCAGCTTATAGCTGACATCATAACATCAAATATAATAGAGTAAGTTACGAGGAAAAGACTTGAGATACAAGAACAGACCAAATACATTAACAATATTCCAATATACATTTACAGGGTAGATGATCAAAATTCAATCACCAATTGGCTCTATACAGGATTTTTTTTTCATGGTGATCATCCGATGAAAATCCAACGACCCTCCCAATACTAACCCACCTTACCATATATTACAATGACCTGTGCTCTCAAAACATATACTCAAAAAACCTTGCTTAAGAACGCAAGCAAGGTTTTGACCTCTCTTCTTTGTTCAATCAACTACTTACAAGATATTAGCAATGATCACCAACGAAGATATATTATATATACAATACTAAGAGCATTTCTCTCAAGACTCCCGGCAAAAAGATTCAAAACTCCTCTTGTTAAATCTGCTGTATCTGTGACTCTGGCGGCGATTTAGCTCCCTTTTATATACACTTAATATTGTGAGTTCTAAGCCACGGCAGGGATGCTGGAATTTTGGCGATCCCTGTTGAGGCAATCAAATCCTTCTACTCTAACTTCAGCTGGCTTAAGCCCAAACTTCATTCTCACACACCCTCCTCCCTTGCACGCAGAAGATGATGGGGATGATAAACCCGAAGGAGATGGGATTGACAGTGGAGAAATTGGAGTGAATTTTTCATCCCCAAATCTGGCATCTTGAATTAATGGGTTGCCAACCCTGGTTGGAGGTGACCCACAAAAAAATGGTGGTGGTGATGAGGCTGCCTGGTTTGCAGGATAATCTGCCCCATGCCCCTCCTGTTAACACCAAGAGCATAGTCAAGTCAGCACAAACCCTTAACATGAAATTCAGCCTGCAGAATCCTATCCACGCACAGAAACATTGAATGACCATCAAACAAGCTGGATATAATTAAATTGTGTAACAAATATAACAACAAAATATCCTCAGCAAAAGAAAATAATTCCAGTTCAGATACATCCCAGATACAATTGCGGCTTAACAAAGATTATGCATCAACAATATCACTTCCATACATCAAAACTATCAGTTTCGAATACTTCCTGCGTAAAAACTGCAACGTCGTCCTAACTAACGTCCAAACAAAAAAGACAGCACCAGTTTACCTTCATGAGAATAATGTCCAGAAGCTCTGCCCCAGCTTTTGAATCACACATTTCGGCTTGATGACTGTCATTCAAAACAATCGTTAAAATCCTCCAGAGTTGCAAAAAAACCTGATAACCTCCCCTTACCCCAGAAGCATAAATTAACAATGATGAGAAAAAAAAAAACAGCATACCTCACGGGCCATCTCAAAGGCCTAATGGGATTATTAGCCAAAATTCCCACTCGCCGAGGCTTCGGACAAACAACAGGACCCTTGTAATCAGAAATCGAAACCAAACCTCTTCTCTCGTCGCAAAAGGTAATTGCGTTCTGCTGAAGACTAACTTGATTCATCCTCAAATTTGTACAAAATATCCACAACAGTCCTTAAAAAAACCACAACAACCACAACACAATGATTTTAGACTCAAAAATCATATTACCAGATAAAAAATCAATTAATCCTCATCTAAATCACCATAAATCAAATAACTCTGATCTAATCAGAACCGCAAATAAAATTAATTTAAAATAAAATTTTGACAAGAAAGGAAAAACAAAAACGAGAAGAATTTCCAAATCAGTTTCAAATTCTTTAATCTTCTTCTACTTTCTAAGCGACCAAACAAGAAGGAATCACAGATCCAGACGAAAACCAATAAAATCAAGACCAAAATGAACAAAAAACCCAGAAATCCCCCTTATTCCCCCTAAAAAAAATGAAAAATTAACAAAATTCCATTTATAAAAAAGGTCAATACCGATTCCAAAAGGATATATAAGAATTATTAAAAAAATAAAAAACAGCCGAGTAAGGCAAAACCAGATCCGATCAAAACTTACATTAGCATGGCCAGATCTGCTTAACTTACAACCGTATAAACGTAAGCATATACGGTATCAATATAGGTAAACCGTATAAACGTAAGCATATACGGTATGAATATAGGTAGAGAGAGAGAGAGAGAGACAGGTACCTGAAGAAGAGGGGGGGGAGAAGAAAGGGGGGGTGCCTGCCACGAGGGAGAAAAGCAAAGACCGGAGCGGAGATGGGATTTATAAAATGAAAAAAAAGTAGTTGTCCTTGTCGACTGACTTTGGGTAAAATATTTTAAAAATCTTTACTCTTACTTCATTGGAGAAACGGTCAAAGTGAGGAAAGGGTTAAAGGAATAACCATGGTCAGCATTCAATATTAGCTAGTTATTTCAACCGCAATTCATTGTGGATTAAATATTATTTTCAATAAAAAAATCAGTAAATTAAAAAAATTATTAATAATAATTAAAAGTAAAAATTAATATATATAAATAAATATACTCAATTGTATTCAATGATTTTATTTATTAAAAAATATTTTTTTAATAAAATAACAGTAGAAATAGACAAAATTGATTGAATAAAAATATTTTTTTAATAAAATAACAGTAAAAATAGACAAAATTGATCGAATAAAAAAAATTATGAAGGTTATATATATTAAAAATATTATTAAAAAAATATTTTTTATTTTTAAAAATAAATTTTATTTATATAAAACATAAAACAAAATTATAAATGAATTAGAATAATCTCCTTGAAAATTAAACAAGTCCAAAATAAATAAAAATAATTATTATTTAAAAATAGTAAATTAAAAAATAAAATAAAAATTAAAAGTATTAATTTTAATATATATAAAAAAATTCATGTTAAAAAATAATTTTTTAAAAATTATATAAAAAAAAATCAGACATCAGTAAACTTGGCATTAACTTATTAACCTTATAGTAAATGTGAGTGTTTTCTATTTTCATAAGAGATGCATTTTTTAAATCATTAGAGAAACATTATGTCAAACTGATACAAAAATAGCATTTACCAAGAAATTAACAGTAACTATATGGTAGCAATAACTAAAGATATGGATTGATAAGAATGTTAATGGATACCACGAATAAGGTTTTTAATATAAGTTTTATTTCCTTGACTTTACAAATAAATTAATTAAAATTGAAAATAAATATTCTAAAGGTACGATACATTAAACAATTAGATTTTTTTTTATGTTTAGTCAATAAATTTTAGACTCTCAAGCACGTTTTGGAGAGTGGAAAAATAATTAATTAAATTTTTATAAAAAAACCTCAAATTAGAAAATTAGGGTTGCTATTTATAGAATCCTAATTTTCAAATCATTTTTCAATTCATGTGTAATCATTGATTAAGTCTTATTAAAATTGTTCACATTCTAAGCCTAAGATTAGCAATTCATGATATGATGAATTGTGTGAATGATAAGATTTTATTTTAGCAATCCATTTATATGAAACCAGTGAAAGTATCTCGAATTATAAAATGACAATGTAAAATTCTAATAGGAAGATAAAAAATGCTAAAAGTGAAGGTTTTTGGCTCCAAATTCAAAATGTGTTCCTTATAGAAGGTGTTTAATAATATGGTAGTGATTGCTTTTTAAAATATTTTTTGTTTAGAAATATATAAAAAATAATATTTTTTTAATTTTTAAAATTTATTTTTAACATCAACACATCAAAACAATATAAAAATATAAAAAAATAAAATTTAAGCAAAAAAAAATTAAATTTTGCCCAACCTCCGTTTAGGTCGTACTCTCAAACAAGGGTTTAATGTATAATATTTATGTTGGGTTCCGAATATCACACATGCAGCAGAAACTACGAAACATAATTATTCAGAAGTCCTTAGGATTCCATTATGTACATCTAAAGTTATTTAAGGATTTATTACATGAAGATCTGATCTTTTTTTACTTTGAATAATTCTTTAAAGGTTAGGTTGTCGCAAATACAAGTCTTCTAATTGTTTGGCCTCTAATGATAATCTACATGAACCACCCGTAAGAAATCTCATATATCTTTATTAGAAAAGTCATTAATAACTTGACTTGACCTTTTAGTGATCGATTTTCTGGTGTAATTAATATTCTTTCATTAATAATGTTTCAATTTAAATCGCAAATACAAGTCTTCTAATTGTTTGGTCTCTAATGATAATCTACACGAACCACCCGTAAGAAATCTCATATATTCTTATTTAGAAAAGTCATTAATAATTTGACTTAACCTTTTAGTGATCGATTTTCTGGTGTAATTAATATTCTTTCATCAATAATGTTTCAATTTAAACTTAAAGCATGAAGTATCTTTGCCATGTTAAATCATGTTTATTCCTTACATGATACTCATTAATCATTTGAATAGAATTTGAAACTCTTTTTAAATTTCATTCAATCTTAATCCAGGATTTATCAATTAATACTATTTGAAAACATATTGAATATTTTTTCTAATTCATTCAGGGTGATAAATGTTCTTTTAATTACTTAAGTATCTTCATATAGTTCATGTTATATTCAATATCTGCCATTTTAATACCTTGATGAAGATAACATATAACATGATCAAAATATAGCATTTTTTATATAAAATAATTTAGTGATCTCAAGTCTAAAGATCATTTACACAGCTATCACGTGAACCTTTCTATAAATATAGGTGATTTTTTCATATGAAATTCTCATGTAGGTTAATTTAGTGTACATATCTTATGATAAACATTTTTGTTTCATGGACTTTATCTTTATTCTAGATTCATTAATCTAATATTATATGAATATTAAATATAAATTAAGCCTTTGTTAATAATAAATATATATTTAATAAATATAATAATGTCATGTATAACTAACTGGTTGACTACAATGCATGTTAAACTAACAATATAATTATCAACTTGTTGTTTTGGAATGACTCATTATGATAACTAAGACAGTTTCTTACAAGAATGAAAGGCTATCACAACTTATTGATATGATTGGAAGCTTAACTTGCTCGTGTTGTTCCATACTCAATAATTTGTTGGTCAACCATTGAGCTAGTAAGTAGCTCTTTTCTTGCTTTTCTATAAAAAAATAGAGTTTTTTAGCTAATAGACTTTAGACATATTTATTTTTTATATGTTGTATGATTTTCTGACAAATGGTAAATTCTTTTTTTTCCTATTGACATAGATTAGGAGAAGGTTTCAAAATTGGTTTGGTTAAGACCCTAATGCTTTTAAAGTCTTTGGAACAAAATTTTTTATTACTTCTGCCATAAAAAGTCTTGTTGGTATTGCCATGTGCTTTTTAGTTGTTATGAAAACTCATAAGTAGATAGAGGTTTATTGCTTTTCCTTATCTTTTTGAATGCTAATTTACACAGTTGTTAGCCTTCAATCATGTTTTATGGTGCTCGATGTATAATGTAATTTAAGGTTAATGAATACTAATTCAAAACTAATATTTTAATTAAATAAATAGACATAGACAATGTAATGATTATGTGTGTATGTGTGTGTGTATATAAAGACCAAATAAGAACAAAAAGAAACAACCAAATCAGATTCTAAGCTATAGCCTGAAATTGAAGATTCATGAAATACTATCTTGACCTATAATATCTGATGAATTTGATATCTTTATTTAGTTTGACATATGCTAGATTTTAGATTAGTAATTTATTTATATAATATTTTCATATATTAGCAATCTATCAATTATAATTAATATTGTGCAAAATACTTATATGATTTGCTTCTCTATTGTTGTCAAGATTATAAAAGGACACCAAAACTTGATGTTAGACTTGAAGAGAATAAACATAAGATTAACAAGATAATTTAATATAGATAGACACTATCAATACTAGTAGGGTTGGTGATGGGGAGGTTTATGGATTTTTTGACATGTTTATTTTGATGGAATTATGGTGAAAAAGAATATGATGGGGTTGATGATGAAAGGTTGCTGGAGTTTTTGGAACTAAAATGAATATTTATTAGAGAATAAAAAATAAAATTGAAAGAAAAGATTTTTAGCTTTGATTTGATGTAATTTGGGACTCAATTTAAAAGTTATTATAGAATTAACACTAGTTTGAATAAGGGGAAAAAATGTGTTTGATGCATGCAGATTTTGAAAGGAGTTACGGCTATGGAGTGATGCGTGGGGCTCACTTGAGCCTTCATTAGAGGTTTTTTTTGGTGTCTCTAGAATTGTCTCAATGAGGGCTTCCTTCCAAGGTGACGCATGTTGTAGTCTAATCTTTGGTGGTTTTGACAATCAATTATTTTTCTCTTTCTATTTGTCTTCTCTTTCTCTCTCTCTCATCCCCCGATTTTCTTGCTTAATTTGTTTTTTATTTGTAAAGAGCTGCATTTTTAAGAAAATTTAATTTTAGCCCCGTCAATAACCCTTAGAAAAATAAAAAATTTAAACAATCTTTTATATAATTGAGCATCAGTTAAATATTGGGATATTTTCTTGACTTAACAAGAAATACACATCAAGTTTATTGACACAAATTATCAAGATCAGGGTCAAATAAAATCAATATTGAAGAATTAAATCAATAAAAAAAACACAACCGGAAAAAAATGAAAAGAGAAACAATTTCATTATGTAAATGCATGATGCAATCGTATCTATGTATGTAATAGATTTTATTTTTTCAAACCAGTTAATATCTTCTATCACGGGTAATATAAATCCACTATAAAAGACTAAATAAACGAAAGATTCATAACCATTGGACTTCTTTATTAACTCCAGTGAAAATCCTCTGATGATATTTGTTTTGCTAATTAGAAGATCTAATTATAATCATAAAACAAATTAAATTATGATCATAATTATACTGTTATTATAGTTATTTATACTATTATTTATGATTAAAACTTAAAAGAATATTCAATAAAAATAAATTTCTCATAAATATAATTATCTCATCTAAATTTTAAAGAGATTCAGTCTCAATAATTAAAATTATTTCCTTTATAAAATATTGTTTGAATGTATAAATTTGAAAGTGCGGTAACTTTTTAGATGTTTTCTTAAAATATATTTCCAT